TATGTTACCCTATATAAGCAAAAATTTTCTATGGGCTAACACAGCTAAGGAGACCTAGGATGGGGTTGCAGAGACTTACTCACAGAGTACGAATGTTGCAAGGCCTACTAGTTGAGGAATCAGGTGATTGCTACTAGGTAGGGAGATAACTCTATTGTAGTTTATTTTTCATCCCTCAAAACCTTATGACAGGAAATAGATCATTTGAAGATTGTGGTTTGGGATAGTAAAGATATAGCTACTTACTAGAAGCTAGTAGAGAAGAACAGAGTGTTTGAGTTTCTAACAGGACTCAACCTAGAGTATGATACTACACGATAGCATGTTCTTTTCGTGATAATGTAACTCTCTCTCAAGCATATACCTTTGTCTAGAGAAGAGAGGAGGAATGTGATGACGAGTATCTTAGGCCCCGTTTGGCGTGTCTTTTTGTGCGGGCTGTCGGCTTTTTAGAAGCCCGGTAGCCCATGGTTTGGTCTTTTCCTGTTGGGTTGAGAAAAGATCTAGTTGTCGAAAGTTGTAGCCCCAAGAAGACGCGGGAAGCCTGTTTCAGACTATTTTTGGGAAGCTCCAAATGGAGCTTTTCGCCTTTTTTTCAACTCGTCTTCGCGCAGAAAGATGTGCCTTAACCAAACAGTCTTCAAGTTGGTAAGATCTTAATGCAAAAGCTCACATCATCTTTTGACTGCCAGAGCTTCCAGAAGATCTTTCAAAAAAGACTTGCCAAACGGTCCCTTAATCTTAAGTAGTCTGCTTTGGTTAGCACAGTGAAACCTAAGCATGGTGAGGCTAAGGGTGGTAGTGATGGTAGGAAGGACAAGAAATACTTGATTTGTGACTAGTGTAAGAAGCCTAAGGATACTAGAGATACTTGTTGGAAGCTTCAACCACACTTCATACAGTTATACCAAGTCGGCTTAGAAGCAAGTGAATGTAATACAACAGTGACTAGTAACTTAGCTAGGCCACCTACCATAGCTTCTTTGGAGTCAGTTGTAGCAATTGTAGTTAGGGCTGAATTGAAGAGATATAGACAATTTCCAAGTCAGAGAGATACAACTAGTTCCAACTCTTCACCAAGTGGATAGTAAGGTGCAAGTGGCCCAGGAGCTAGTCATTCTACTTCATTTGTGCATACAGGTAGTTCATATTTCACTACAAATTATGCCTCCACTACAGGTAAGGGGTGGCCTCCTTGGCTTATAGACTCAAAAGCCTCAGAACATATGACCAATATTTCTACAATTTTGTCATCATACCACCTCTACTCATGTAGAGAGTATCCATAGCTGATGGCTTTCATGTTCCCATTGCTGGGAAGGAGTCTATCAAAATAACCGATACCATTACCCTGCCTTCATACTGCATGTTCCTAGACTGAATACTACCTTTTTATCTGTGAGTAGTTTGACAAAAAAATTGAATTGATCAATAATTGTTTCTCCTAGTCATTGTATTTTGTAGGATCTAGAGTCAAAGAGGATGATTAAAAGTGGTCGCAAGGTGAATGGAGTTTACCTTCTCGATGTGCTTCCCAATCATCAAAGTCATCATGTCACCAATAGGAGTAATGAGTCGGAGTCAATAGGTCAGATTATGCTTTGGCATAACCGGTTAGGAGTAATCGATGTACTTCCCAAGCTTTGCATTTTTTTTTTCGTTTCCAAAGTTGTTGGAGTCTGTTAAGTTGTCAAGTTTGCAGTGTGAAGGTTGTCAGCTTGCTTGGAAACCATATCATGTTCCTTCTATGGGTAGCTATCATTACTTTTTGTTGTTTGTGGATGACACAATTTGGAATACAAGTGAAGGTTTTTAGGTCAAATAATGATAGGGAATATTTCGAGAAAAACCTGGCATCATATTTATTAGAGCATGGAGTAGTCCATCAGAACAGTTGTACATATACTCCACAACAGAATGGTGTAGCAGAAAAGAACAGGCATATTGTAGAAGTGGTAAGAAGTATGATGGTGAGTCCACAGTTCTAGTTCGGTTTTAGGGTGATGCAGTTCTTACAACAGTCTTCTTGATGAATTGGGTACCCTCTCGTGTTCTTGGATACACTGCTCCATTCGGACTTCTTTTTCCTGAGGGATAGATGTTTCATGTTCCATTGAGGGTGTTTGGATGTGTATGCTTTGTCCATATCCATGATCCTCACCACTCGAAGCTGGACCCTAAGGAAAAGAATTGTGTATTCCTCGGGCATGTAGGAAATCAAAAGGGGTATTGTTGTTACGATCTTGTGTCAGGGAGGTATGTTACCATGGATGTCACCTTTTTTGAGTCTAGATCTTTTTCTTCAGAGTCTTTCTCAAGGGAAGTGTTTAGGGGAAGGAAATAAGCAACCTACACCACTTCCTGTTCCAGCTCCTTTACCTACTCCAATGTCTGACCCAATTATTCCACCTACTTTGCCTGCTCTATTAAGTCCTAGTTCTCAATTTTTTACATGACAGTGCCTACGGTAGCATAGGGAGGTTGGTTCCACAACAAAGGAACCCACGCCACTTCTTATCAGCTCATGTTAGACTCCAGGTTTGGCTAACACAGACCCCAGGTATGCCTTTTGCTCCCCCTGATATTTCAGTCTAGTCATACTACACCTGTACCAAACACCACTACAGATGACCTAGACCTTCTTATTGCACTCAGCAAAGGGAGGAGAAAGTGCACAGCCCATTGTATCTCACATCATCTTTCCTACAGTGGGTTATCTTCCTCTTATGGGCCATTCCTTGCTTCTCTTGATTCTATGTCTATACCCCAAGTCTATTAGTAAGGTTCTCTCTCCAAACCTAAGTGGAAGACAACTATGCAAGAGGAAATAGAAGCCTTGATTCAAAACCAAACATCGGAAGTTGTGAATCTACCTGATGGAAAAGAGACAGTTGGTTATAAATGGGTTTATACTGTGAAGTACATGGCTGATGGAAGAATAGAAAGTTACAAGGCAAGGCTGGTTGCAAAAGGGTACACTCAGACTTACGAGATAGGCTACTAGGCCCCTCTTCCAACTTAATGTGAAGAATGCTTTTCTTAATGGAGATAGAGGTGTACATGGGTCTTCAAACTGGTTTTTATAGTAATGTACCAAAGGAAAGGTATGCAAATTGAAGAAGTCCTTATATGGTTTGAAACAATCACCCAAAGCTTGGTTTGGCAGGTTTAGGAGTGCATTGATTGTGTTTGGTTATACTCAAAAAGTCAAACCCAGTCTAATCATACTTTGTTTGTGAAGAGAAGGGGATTATTGGTGTCAATGTTGCTAGTGTATGTGGATAACATTGTAGCAACAGGGAATGACCCGATTGAGATTGATGCATTAAAGAAAAACTTATACTGGAGTTTGAGATTAAGGATCTTGGGGAGTTGAAGTATTTTCTAGGCATTGAGGTGGGAAGGGCCCAAACAATTGGATCTTCAATTCCTAGAGGAGTATGTGTTGGACCTATTACCGGAGATAGGAAAACTTGGGGTTAAACCAGTTGATACACCCATTGACCAAACTCACAAAATTAATGCTTCATATGGTGAACTAGTAAAGGATGTTGGGAGGTATCAAAGATTGGTGGGTCGGTTGTTATATTTGTGATTGACAAGACCAGATATCTCCTATGTAGTTAGTGTGGTGAGTCGGTACATGCATGCCCCACGAGTACAACACTGGGAAGCCATTGACAAGATTCTTGCCTATCTGGAAGGACTTCCAAGCAGAGGGATATGCTAACCATGGACATTTACACACAAATGCTACTTGGGCAAGGCGCCTAGACGATAGGAGATTTACATCATGAGTGTGTACTTTCTGATAAGCCTTGCTACTTTAGTTCACCTGTTAATCTTCTTTGGATCATTGATTATGGAACATGAAATCACATGACTTGTGTTTCACCTAGTTCACCCTATACCCCTTATTCTGCTAAAAATCAGATTGTCACTGCCAATGGTGAAAAACTTCAAAAAACCTGCTGAAGATTTAAGGGTGAAGTTGAAGATTGAAGGAGGCTTAGTTTTAAAGCCTTTTTTTATCAATATTAGTTTTAAAGCTTTTCCAAGATCGGTTAGCGACTCTAGACCTTGAGTTTCCCCTGAGATATGTCTATGCACTCCAAGTTCAGACTACAGAAGGGTTTGTAGATGTTCAAAGGTGGAGCCCGGTGTCCAACATAGTTGAACTAGGTGAAAATCCTGTGGTGAAGATAGTGGACTACCTTTTCACCTCTGGACTGAATCAATCAATGAGTGAATTGTTATTTGATATTGAAGAGAAACACAAAATTAGGATAGAGAAAGAAAGGATAAGAAGTTTTGGTTCAAATAGAAATCCTCCTTGCCATTGCATCAAGTGATGATTTGTTTTAGATGCTCCACCTTGACAATATTCTTTGTGCATTGTGGCTGTCCTCTTGCATGAATTCCAAGCTTGGTGCATTTCGGACGTATTCAAAAAAATAATTCTGAAGTTCCAGCATTGTGTACCTACCATATGTTGGTACACAGTGTTTGGTTGTTTTTATGTTGTTGTCACCAAGTTAGAGATTTGATTAGTGGGCATGAATTGTTTGTAAAAGTTACACCTGTATATGGTTTGTGGGCACCTGTTGTCTGAAAAGTGTTTCTGTATGGCGTTGTATACTCTGAACTGTTCCACTGTATCAATAAGCCATATTGCCCCTTGTCAGTTCCTACTTCCAAAACTCAAAGGACCAAGTTATAAAGAAAGTTTTTATTGATTATTGTAGACCCATCACTGATTAGAAGATTGTTGCCTGAACAGGATTACAATATAATTATCAGATGGAAGATATGAGAAATATAAAACTTGTAAAATACAGTATAAGATGTGCATTTAGTTTGTACCCATCATACACAATGACTGATGCAAGAAATTTAACAGCACTCGGCAATTGTTACATGGCAAACCAAGTAAGCAATCTTAATATGCAACTTAAATTTTGATATCAGTTTCTAAGATTCCTTGCAAGAACAAAAACAACCTGTATTGAATACATTCTCAGCATTCTTGGATTGGAAGGCCTCCAATAACTTCAAACAGTTTTGCAATTTTATTTGGAGCTTTCCGAGAACAGTTGCAATTTCAATGTCTTCAGCTGTACTCTGCTCCTGAAGCTGCACGGATTGGATAAATATATATAACCAACATATACATCAAGTTTATCTCCTAACTGCTAAGTAACTCCAAAACAAATGGCAATAAGAGTTATTATCATTAAGGCCACTAAAAACACATTGGTCCTAGCTATCTGGGGTCTTCAGAGGGGTAGGCTGGATATGTGTAAAGATCGTAGGGCTTAGGGGTGTTCAAATTCCGATTATAAACCAAAAATCGAACTGAACCAAACCAAACAAGCTAGTTCAGTTCAGTTAATTTGGGTATTGTTTGGTTCAGGTTTTTTTTTTTTTAATCGGTTATCAGTTTTGGTTCAGTTTGGCTGATTTTCAATCAAACTGAACTAGTGGTTTTATTTAATTAAGTATATTAAATATATAATATTCTATCTAATACTTTATACTTAATTACTTATTAATTATTATCTTTCCCAATGACCAATTCGGCAATTCCCCATTGGGCTTTGGGCCCATTCTAACTTTTAATTAATAATAGTTAATTAAATTGTCTAAAGACTCTAAACAACTAAAGTATTAAAACCTAGACTAATTATTAGTTCTTCATTAATTGTTTGTGAATAATGGCCAATTCGGAAATTCTCCATTAGCATTGGGCTTTGGGCCTATTCTAACTTTAAATTAATAATAGTTAATTAAACTATCTAAAGATTCTAAACCACTAAAGTACTAATTAAAACCATTGAACTTTTGGGCCATTCTAACTTTTAATTAATAACACTTATTAATTATTAATTGTTCATTAATTGTTTATGTGGAATCAGGATGGATGTTTACCATTTATGTGGAATCAAGGCCCAACAAAACCAAACTGAACTGAATTTGGTTAGAGTTGGTTTGGTTCTAAACTCTAGTTTCATTTGGTTTGGTTGGGGAAGACGGTCAAACCAAATAGTCGGTCAGGTACTCAGTTCTAACCGAACCGGCCAATTGTACACTCCTAGTAGGGCTGAAGGCTGATATTTTCTTTTATTTGGCTTGGGAGCATTGTTGTAATATTCATTGTAACCTACTTTATCATATCTGTACAGAATTCTTATATTTGTTTCTTGTGTTTGTGAGGGACACAACTGTCCTTTCACACTTTTTGTATCTTATTAAATATAAGCTCTTCTTGGGTCACAGTCTAACCTTAGGACACACCCTATTCAAATTTGTTTTCTCTCACTCCAACTACTCCTGACATGGTATCACAGCAGGTTCAAGTGACTGCTCTTGTTTGAAGTTTTGGACTTGTGGTTTGAGAGTTAAAAGACTTATTTAGTCATATTCTAGGGGATTCTTCTGGCTTCTCTTGGATTGTTTTGTTCAGTCCATATCTGTTTATTTTTCTGGAAAACCGTAGCACTCTCTTCATCTCTTTCTTTTGATCTTCAGTTTGGATGATCAGATCACTTTGACACTCTAGATCTGGTATCGCCTTAGGTGGATCTTCTCCTCTCTATTGTCTGATCTGAAGTGATGAACCTTTATTGCCTGATGCTATTGTACATAGACAACTTGTAGGCAGGGGTGGATTCAAGCCGATCTGAATACTTGGCTATTTGAGCTCAGCTCGCTGAAATTGGATTAGGCTCGAGCTCGATTCGAGCTAGAGACTTAAGCTTGAGCTCGGCTTGGTTCAAAGCTCGCAAGTTTGAGCTCGACTGCAAGCCAAGTTTTTTTCTTAAAAATAAAAATTATAAATATAAAAATATTTTTTTATTTTACATACAAAAATTAAGAATTATAAAAATTATTTATTATTATACACATAAAAAATGTTTTTATTTTACATACAAAAAAATAAGAATTATAAAAATTATTTACTATTATACATAAAAAATAAAAATATTATATAAAAAGTATTATTATATATAATAAAAATTATTTACTATATATATTTATATATTTATATTTATATGTATATGTATGTATATAATAAAAAAATAGTTATTTATTATACTAGGCTCGATTAGGCTCGCAAGCCTCACAAGCCAAGCTTCACTGGCTCGAGCTTGGCTCGATTAGCAAACGAGCCTATATATCAGGCTCGAGCTCAGCTCGAAGCTCAATTTAAACCTAGCCGAGCTAGAATAGCTCATGAGAAGCTTGGCTCATGGCCACCCATACTTGTAGGCAGCTTAATATATCTACAACTCCACCTAATATCTCCTATGTTGTTCAAGTTCCTAGTTTGTCTCCTCACCTCGACAACCTCATTTCTTTGAAGTGCATCAAATCATCCAATATATTTGTGGCACTCTTTCTCATGGCCTCCTCTTTCGTTCATCATCATCCACCCAGCTATCTACCATTGGTGATGCTTCTAGGGCAAGATGCCCTAATACCCAGCGAACTACTATTGGTTGGTGTATCTTCTTTGGAAATTGAAATTCCTCCGTATCTTGGAAATGCAAAAAAAAAGGCCATCTTCAAATCTTCCATTGAGGCTGAGTATCAGGTCATGTCATCTACTTGTAGTGAAATTATTTGGCTCAAAGTTTTACTTAGGCTATGTTTGGTTTGAAGGAAAAGGTAGGGAAACAAAGGGAAAGACAAAGAAACCTATACAAGGTTTGTAAAGGTTTCCCTACCTTTCTCTTCCTTTCCCTACTTTTTCCTTCAAACCAAACACAGCCTTATGGAATTGGGAGTTGACCATTCATCCCCAATTCCCTAATTGGTGTCTCTCCAAACTGCCGTATCTTATGCAAATTGAATGGTGAGAAAGCATTTCATTTACTAATTTCCTCTCCATTTTCTTGCTGTATTTGGGATTGGTTTCTTGCTTGTTTTGGATGCAAGTGGATCTCCCCTGTAGCTCGGACAGGTTGTTTCAAGGGTCTAATTTTAGAAGCCAGAAGAGGAGGGGCAGAATTATGGAGGTATACAAGGGCAGAGGTGTTTTGGACACTGTGGGAGAAGAGGAACCTTAGAACATTTGAAGGGAAAAGGACTACAGAGGCTATCATTGAAATCATCACAGTAAGGGCAGCACACTGGTTAAAGACATTGGACCTTTTCTCAGACTACAATGGATGACTTCTTTAGACATTGGAACTTTTTTCTTTTTTAATGAATCTGCAGTTATAAATAAAAAAAAATGCAAGATCCTCATATAAGAAACCAAAGGCAAAGAAGGATTGGTCACCACCAACTAGTGGATGGCTGAAATTGAACATTGATGGGAGTAGTTTGGGAAACCCAGGTGTGTCTAGAGTTGGAGTAATTGGAGATGATAAGGGGAATATAATGGCTCTATTTTCAGGGCCTATTGAGCAAGGAACTCTATCCGGGCAGAGCTAATGGCTACAGTGATTAGCTTGTAAGAAGCAAAGGAATTGAGTGCTTATAAGCTAGTTGTCAAAAGTGACCCCAAGGTAATTATAAGCTGGCTGTTGGATGGAAGTAAAGCTAATTGGTGTTACAGAAATAAAATCAGAAGGTATAATGGCATATCAAGACATGCAAATAGAAATACAGTGGGTACAAAGGTCAACAAATGATTTAGCTGATGGTCTAGCAAAGCAAGGGGTTACTAGATATCAGATGTATTGGGCTCAGTTATAAGATCTGAGTTGGGATGGGATAGCAGGGGCTATGCTCACACAATATATTTGTAATGTAAAGCTGCAATCTCTTGTTGTACTGCTTTTTCTTTTATCTAATAAAATTCTGTTTTCTGTTGTTGATCCAGTGTTTTAAAAGCGCAAGGGCCAATTTGTGCCTGAGGCCCAAAGCGCAAGACAAGGTGCACGCCTTTTTGAAGCAAGGTGCAATTACAAAAAAAAATGCTAAAATTCAAAAAAAATGTCAAAAAAATGCAAGAAATGCAAAAAAAATCAAAAAAAAAATATTAAACATAATGTTAATAAAAAATATAAACTTAAATTTTAAAATAAATGTTTTAGAAAACCTATTATCTAAAATTAAAATACATAAATATAAAGCGTATTCAAATGAAAGTTTAAAAATAAAAGCAAACATATAAAGCATTTTCAAGCATGTAAAACCCACAATCTCTTTTTTTCCTCAATTGCATTACTTCAAGTAGCTAATGTGATGTAAAACATATTGCATGCTTGATTCTATGAGTCACCTTTGCACCACACCCCTTGAGGCAAGCCCGAACAAGTCCATGTTAGGGTCTCAAGTTCATTCCAATAAAATATCTTCTTAAAAGACAATTAAAGTTATAAAATCATTACTTTTTATATGAGAAATAAGAATTTAAGACCTTAACATGGACTTGTTCAGGTTTGCCTCGAGGGGCGCCGTTAGACTCAAAAAAAAAAGCAAAAAGCGCAAAATTTAAAAAAGGCGCATGCCTGGGCTGAAGTGCAAGGCGCATCAGGCGTGCGCCTTTTGAAAGGAGTGCACCTAGGACCTAGGCGAGGCGCATACCCTAAAATGTGTCTCGCCTGTGTGCCTAGGCACACCTTTTAAATCACTATACTGATCAAAAAGAATATACGAGTGTGATAAAAATCGCCACAAATCCAGTGTTCCATCAGGGCACCAAGCATATAGAAGTTGACTGCCACTATATTAGAAATCAGTTCCTTGCTGGCCACATCACACTTCCCCATGTTTCTTTAGGACTTCAGCTAGCAGATCCTTCTACTAAAGCAATGACGAGTACCAGACATACATTTCTAGTTGACAAACTGGTGCCAGGGGGGAGTGTAGAGAGCATAGGGCTCAGGGTTGACATTTTCTATTATTTGACTTGGGAGCACTGTTGTAATATACATTGTTACCTATTGTATCATACTTGTACAGCAATCTTGTATTTGTATGTGAGAGACACAACTGTCCTTTCATACATTTTATATCTTATTAATATATAAGCTCTTATTGGGTCATCGTCTGACCTTGGAACACACCCTTTTCAAATCTATTTTCTCTCACTTGAACTGCTCCTAACGATACAGTCTTAACCTTTGGCATTTTTTTGCAAAAGTGACCACTCTCAGACTCAAACCCGTATTCTCACGCTTGCCAGCCCAAGATGTTACCATTAGACCATGCAATGGCCCCTAATAAGAGTGATTAACATGTTTCATAAAAAACACTCCAGCCACTAGGAACATGATAAGAGTGACAATTTGAGATAGTTAATACGGAGACTCTACATGGCATCTAGAGAGGAGAACTGATAGTGAAATCCAATGCAAGAAATTTACACTTACCGATCTTGGCCAATGAGATCTCTCCAATAAAAATAATATTTCTTCAATATGTTCTCTATTCTTCCACATGTTCTGATCAATTTTATGGGGAGGAGGACAATCTGCTTCACGTTCCAAGACACCTTCGGCTAGAATACAAAAACAAAAAAAATAAAAAAAGTTCCTGGTTAAATTTGTTAAAAAACAAGCAACTGCACAGAATTTCAAGAGAAAATAGTCGAAACCTGCATCTTTTAAATGATTGTTCATTTCCATAACTCATGCAATTTGCTGATATTTGGTGCAACACTATTGTAATACGAAATGACCATGTAAGCAATATATACAGGCATCACCAGTTCTTTTTTTTTTTTTTTGAAAGAGAGAGAGAGAGAGAAGGTAAAGTATCATTGTATTAATTATGAACAAAATGTACAGCAAGATGATGTACTAACCCCACCCTGCTTACAAAAAGCATATCATGTACAAAAAAAGGACTCAAAACCTACACCCCTAAACAGCCTGTGACCAGACAACCAAGAAAGCATCTCCCCACAATTTTCTGAAAAATGGAATAAGAAGAACTTGTCTTGCTTTTGAAGACCCAAGCATTTCTTTCTTGCCACATACACCAAAATACCACTGCTGGGATTAAATTCCAAACTAATTTTCCCCTTTTACTCAGACCCCCCCCCCAACCTCCAACCCTTTACAAAATCCAACTGAACCTGGCCAGCAACTTTTCACTTCAAAAAGTATGAAATTCTGTTCCAGATCTCTGAAGAATAATTGCAGTGCAGTAACAGGTGATTCACTATTTCCAGTTGTCCTTCACATAGGACACAGCTAGTTGAATCCAGTACAGCACCCTTTCGAGAGAGATTATCCCTTGTAAGTATTCTGTTGAGGTATGCCGTCCAGACAAAAGAAAAGAAATTTTTTATTTTTTAAGGCACATCACATTTTTACACCAGATGATGTGGATTGGAACTGAATGTCCTTCTGAACTGTCCAAAGACTTGTAAAAAGATTTAACTGTAAATTTTCCAGTCTTCTCCCACTTCCAGATTTTACTATCAGCCCTTGCTGGCTCCAAATGTGTACTGTAAAGGGGTTGCAGTAGTTCCAGACTTCCATCCACTCCACTTCCCAATCATTTAGATTCCTCCTGAACTGTGGGACCCAACCACAGTACCATCTTGGATTTGCAAGCTTTCAGCAACCTTAGCTTCTTTGTTTGCTGCAACTTCAAACAAGGCAGGGAACCTCTCATTCAAAGACCTCTCCCCACACCAAACATCCTTCCAAAATTTGACCCTCTCCCCATTTCCTACCTTGAACTTCACACCTTTTGCAAACCAATGATAAGTCTTTTTGATACCTTTCCTAACCGAGCATCCATAGGACTGATTTGAAGTTCCTGGATCCCATCCAAAATTTCTATCACCACACTTGGCCTGCACCACACTTTTCCACAGCCCTCCTTGACTCTCCCCAAATCTCCAAAATCACTTCCCCAGCAAAGCAGTATTGATACTTTTACCCTTCTAACCCCCAACCCCCTACAGCTTTGGGCTGACGGACCTTGTTCCAGTTTACCAAGTGGTACTTCTGCACTTTCCAGCCTCTCCAGAGGAAATCCCTCATCTTCTTTTTGATGGTAGCAGCCATTCCTGCCGGAATTGGGTACAAGGATAACAGATACATTGGGAGGGAGGATAGCACACTTTTCACCAGGGTAACCTTGCCTCCATGAGAAAGATACATGGTTTTCCAGGAGGCCAGCTTCTTTTCAAGTCTTTCAACAATTGGCTCCCAGATTGTTTTGGAGTTACATTTTGCACCTAAGAGCATGCCCAAATATTTCAGAGGCATCACCAATTCATTTTGCCGGTATCTGTAGCCCAATCTATAGCGGCAGCATATCTTAAGGATAATAGAACAACTATTTTGAATTCAACTTATTAAAACAATTTTAATTGCATTAATAGTTTCAGGAAATCCATTCAAAATAGAAAAGAAAAAAAAAATCCCAATGGAGTTATTGTTATTTGGTTCTAGTGAGCCAAACAAAAAGGGCCAATAGGGTTAAAATTAAAAAAAAAAAAAAAAAAAAAAAAAAAAAAAAACCTGGAATGTTCAGTAGTCAGGGCTTGGCACAGAGACCTTAGTCCCAATTGCAACTGTCTAGGATCAGTTGAGAGTTATTTTGGGCCTAACAGCTTCTAAAGGTCAATAAATAGAACTAGGGGCCAATCGTAAAGGGCATGGGTTAAAGTAATGATAAATAATTTGAGGGCCCATAATTTAATGGATATGGCACTGAATAGATTGTAATGGTGGAACACGATTCATGTAGCTAATGAAGGATAGACCAGTTCCCTTATGGCTTTGCTCGTGGAAGTGCATCCTATCAAAATTACAATTCAAAGTGAACAAAGTGAATTGCTTTCTTATGTTATGAATTAGCAATTTTTATTTTCTAGATGAGTGAGAAGTTCTTAGGAGTTAGGAAGCATAGTTAATAAATTGGAGGAGGAGGAGGAGGAGGATGTTTCGTGAGAATAGGGTGAGTTATTGTTCACCCAAAAAAGACCCTTCTTATACTAAATGGTGAAAGTTTCATAATGCCCTTGAATGGGCGCCCGAATACAAAAAAAGATAGAAAGACGAAATCACCCTTGCCCACAATACATATTCTTTTTTTTTATCAATCCCACAATACATATTCTTAACACTCCCCCTCAAGCTGAGCATAGATATCTATCATGCCTAGATTGCCAAGGTTTCTACTTTCTACCAAGTTGACTTGTGGAGCCCCATTGTGAGACAATCAACGAGTTGATTCTCTAACTTGACAAAAGACACCCATATTTCTCCACTAGCTATTCTTTCTCTAATGAAGTGTCTCTATCAACCCTCAATGTGCTTTATGTGGCCATGTTGGACTGAATTATGGGCAATGTTTATGGCAGCTTGGTTATCACAATACAGCCTCATTGGAACATCAATTTAGATCCCAATCTCAGATAACAAGGTCTTTAGCCAAAGTAACTCTAGTCAAGGTTCAAAGTATCAACACGTATCAGCCCGTATCGGCTGATACGTATCATGCCGATGGCTTCCCGATACGCCCCTACAAGGGTTGTATCGGGTCAGACCATGGTTCAGAGGGTAGCTGGGACTTAAACCGACCCCTCTGAATCGGTTTTGAAAAAATAAATAAATAAAATATAAAAAAAGCACTAACACAAGTTGATACACCCTACCGGCGTATCGGCCTGTGTCGATATTTAGAACCTCGACTCTAGTACACCATGAGCCATAGCTCTATTCTGTGTCTACACTAGATGAAGCTACAATTGATTGCTTTTTACTTCTCCATGATACAAAATTACCTCCCACCAACGCACAATAACCAGAGGTGGACCTCCTATCATCCACAAAACCTACGCAATCTACATTAGTATAAGCATCAACCTTGAGATGTCCATGGTTGGAGTACAACATTCCTTCACCTGGACATTCCTTTAACTAGGCAAAATCCCGTTGATTGCCTACATATGTGAAGTTTTGGGTTTATGCATATACTGACTCACCACACTTATGGCATATGATATATCAGGCCAAACACAAATAAAGAAGTCAACCAACTAGTCTCTAATAAACACCTTTGTCTAGAAGAATGTCTCCATCATCAACACTCAATTTATGATTGGGGTCAATGGGAATTTTAATTGGCTTGCACCTAACTTGCCTACCTCTTGAAAGAGGTCAAGAACATACTTTTTTTGTGAAATAATTATAAAAAAAAAAAACATACTTTTATGTGAAATACTGAAATGAAGATCCATTCCTTTGACCTTGCCACTTCAATCCCAAGAAAGTATCTGAGACTACATATACAAGATCTTTGATCTCAAATTCAAGAGCAATGAATGATTCCAACTTAACAATTCCAAAGTTATCATCTCTAGTAACAACAATATCATCAACATACACTATCAACAGAATCACTACGCCATTGACCCTTCTTATAAAAAGCGTATGATTTGCCTATGATTGAGTGAACCCAATTGTAAGAACAATCTTTCTGAATCTATCAAACCAAGCTCTACGAGATTGCTTGAGTTCATAAAGGGATTTCTTTAGATGGAAAACCTTCCCCTCACTATCAAGGAGGCTTACTCTCAAGGAAGGATCCATGTAGACCTCTTCTTGAAGAACTCCATTGAGGAAGGCATTCTTCACATCCATTTGGCATAGAGGCCATGAATAGTGAGCAGTAAGAGACAAAATCACTCAGATAGAGTTCATCTTAGCTATAGGTGCAAAGGTCTCCTGATAATTAATCCCATATGTTTGGGTATACCCTTTTACCACCAACCTTGCTTTGTATTTTTCAATTGAGCCATCATCCCGGTGGTTAACTGTATACACCCACTTGCAACCAACAAGGACCTTACTCATAGGAAGTGGAACAAATCACTTTCTCTAACAGGTGTTGTAGATGGTCTTCTATGCACATGACCAAACCATCTCAATCTACTTTCTCTCATTTTATCACCTATTGGAGCTACTCCTAGGTTCCTTGGTATGACTTCATTTCTAAACCTTATCCTTCCTGATTTTACCAATCATCCATCGAAGCATTAGTATTTCTGCCACACTCATTTTTTAAACATGTCGTCTCTTAACTACCCAATATAAAATAGTGAAAAGAATCTTCATTTATTGAAATTGAAATCCCACTACTGGTATGACCCAATATAAGACCCCAATAAATGTTCCTAATTCAAACCACACCCACCCCCAACCTTCCAAAAGAAACCTCAGAACAATCTTAAAGCAACCTTCCAATCTAGACTCCAAATCAGAACCAATTTCTTTTTCAAATAAAGGACATAGATAGCAACATCTAATTTCATAAAATGTAAGTATATTTATAAGACAAATATAACTATTGTATCATAACATCTTTCCCTTGAGGTGCTTTACAATCATCCTTATCTTTAGTGGTTCATATCATTGCTACACAACATGGGCACAATTGTTTGTTCAACTCGTTTTTTTTTTTTTTTTTTGATGAATAAAGAAAATCTTATTACTTAAAAAGAAAATAGAGAACTTTGAACTCATACAACAGCCCTTGGAGAGGCACAAGTTTCAGCCTCTCTCAACTGATTACAAGGAGTCTAGAGAGAAAATACGAGCATTACAGCTGAGCCCAAAACAAGACTTCCCTATTTGCCCCTTGCTTAGCTAAATCATCAGCCAAAGCATTTGCTGATCTTCCCAACCATTGTGTAATAACAGACATATTCCTTGTCAGCAACTTAAATTTTTGACTTCATTCCTGTAGCACCACATAGTGTCCTCAGGGTTCTTCAACCACCTTGGAATCCACTCAAGGTCCTTCAACTTGTTGTGCTAAGAAACAATGGCATGTACTATCAACAGAATTCTAGCACTTGTGATAAGGAAATGCCACATATTGTCATTCATTGACTAAATTTTAAATTTTGACATTTTTTAATAAATACATTTTAATTTTGACATTTAGATATAGTAGAAGTCCAGGACTGTTATCAGTCTTGAACCCTAATGGATTTCAGGATCGAAAATAAGAAGAAAGGTAAGAG